CTTTGTCTACTTCTTCCTTTTGAACGTTGAAGGTTGGACGAATTTGAATGCTGCCTTTCCAGCTTTCATAATCATATCAGAGGACATTTGTTGTTTTCCACAATGAAAACACTGAAGCACTAAACTTAAGTCCCATTTTCTGAATTTTCACTCACAGAGACCTTCGGTGTTCTAATAGGTACAGGACACAGCACCAATAACTGGAAATTACGCACCTGCCTGAAAAGGAACTTGAACAATCAGAAAATTTGAGAACATAGGACCTTATGAAGTGCAGAACTGGAAGGTCATTTGGAGTTAAGAGAATACTGGAGCTTACAGTCCTACTGCTGTGTAGACTTCATGGATACAGTAGTATCTAAACTGCTGTTGTCTGCTGTCTTTCATGTCTTTTAAGAGGCTTTGCTGGGGATCAGGACTTTTCTTTGTTATGCCTATAAAGAAATCAGTAACTGAAGTTTATGATAAACTTCAGTTATCATAGTTTGTGATCCTGTTACACTTCCAGGATGTACTGTTTTCTTTCCTGGGTATGTTCTGGACTCAAGGTTTTGGCACCTGAGGAGTCATGAGTTCCTTCCTCCAGAAATACTCCTTTTCTTGTGCGTAACAAACAGCAGATGTTGCCTATGTGAGCACTCAAGGTAGGCAGTGTGTTTGCCTTCTCAGACAGCCAGTGGGAGGAAGTGTGTAACGCTTGTGGAATTTGGGCTTCATGTCCCTGTGGTGGTGTTCAGGGGCGTGAAGCATTTGAAATGTTGACTGTCCTCTAACCAGGCACCCATTTATTTTCTTTTTATTGTCTTGACCTCACTTTTTTTTTTGTTTCTTCCCCTAACCCTAATGCTTCCAGCTAGTCAGGAAAAACCTTTCTTCTTCTAGCACAAATTACTGTGCAAATGTTTCTTGCATATGCTGCATACGTGGCACCTGTCCAATGCACAGAAAAAAATACTTGGTATTTCAGAAAAGCTCTAGCAAACTTAATTCCTGGCTGATTTCCTTTGCTTTGTGTCCTGTTATGGTCTAACATCTCTGATG